AAAGCCATGTTCTTCTATACAAGGCGTTGCTGTACGCTAAGTTCACAATGCTAACCTATAACTACAATGATAGATTTTTCAATTTTGTAATCTTTTTTAAAAAAATCCATAGCATAGCCACTTCCCTAAGCTAAGATGTGGAAAACTTTAGGCCTTGTGCTCTACATAATCTAGTTGGATTGAACATCTATTCTTCTTTTTCTGCCCGTATGCCTTCTTTATATCCTTGTTCTTTAATTATTGTTTTTGTATCCATAACATAACCCGCCTAATCTATTAGCTAGTTTGCATATTGACGTAATTGCAAAGCCATGCTCTTCTATGCAAGGCGTTGCCATAGACTAAGTTCACAATGCTGACTTATAACTATAATTATAGGTTTTTTAATTTTGTAATCTTTTAAAAAGTTTCATGGCATAGCCACTTCCCTAAATTGAGATGGGGAAAACTTTGGGCCTCGTGTTCGACATAATCTAGTTGGAAAGTTCCCTGCTGTTGTACTTGAAACTCATCGACATATATGCAACTATAATGGTTTCCTTTCCTATCTTGAAGCAAGAGATTTCATCTTCTATCTTTACTTCCTCTTCTGCACTATTCTCGTAAATCTACTAGTAAGTCGAGTAATTTATGTAAAGAATACTTCTGGTCCACCCGGATTGTAGTCTTGCATGTAGCCAATATGACCAATGATGAACTAATATTTTTTCCAGGCCAGATTCTGAGGATTTTTTCATTAATATGAGTAATGCGTGCTTTATGCTGCTCCAGATTCTTGGTTCTGCTGACTCAAAACTCCAGTACCATCCAATGTTGGTGATTAAGTATCAGTTGAATGTAATCGTGCAAAAGCTCCAAATTAATAAATAAAATTTTTAAAATTTGTCATCTTCTGCTTACATCGTTGTTCTTTCCCTGCAGGGGTCGTCATTTTTGGATTACTTGAAGAGCTGAATGTTTTCGTCTTGATTTCCTTGGAGACTGTAGTACGTAGATGGTTAAAATTGAAAGGATCGTATGGACTACAAAGCCATCATTAATATTTATTTACATGCATATTTTTTTTGGTTGATTTAATAAATGTTATTATCTTTAAATCATACATTAATCATATTGATTATGGGGATGATCAAATGAAAAGATTTGATGATATTAAAATCATTCACAACCATAAGCATACTTTGGACAGTATGCATAACTTGATTGTCATATGTTGTACCATTATAAGTGATAAAGTGGTAAACCTCAACTATTAAAGTAGAGATTTTTAGTGATACAATGAGTATTTGTATAAGATAAATGTTGAACTAGACCATATAGAATAATTTTAAGTTAATTGTTGTCAAATAAAATATTATTCTATTCACAATTCATAGAAGGTTCTTAGACCAGAATTTTGATAGGGTAAAAGAGACAAAGAAACTGAAGCTAGTATTAGTGCGGTTTTAGGATAGTGAGATGAGAGAGAGAGGTCGAGAAAGGGTGCGAGGTAATGGAAGCAGATCACGGCATCGACGACGACAATGGAGCAAGAGGTCAGAATGGAGGCACGAGCATCTGAGGAAGGCTTATAAAGAAGATGCTGGGCAAGGCAATCATCGTGAAAGCAAGATGTCAAGGGGATTTGATTGGGCAACCTACAATCAGGCGACGGTCTTCTACTTCTCAAACTTCCCTGAAGATTGGACTTATGAGCAAATGTGGAAAACATTTCTGAAATTTGGGAGAGTTTATGCCATTTATAGCCCAAGAAGGAAGAACAGGGCAGGAAGTAGATTCGGGTTCGTGCGGTTCTTAGATGTCAAAGATGTGAGGAAGCTGGAGAATGAACTCGATCAAATATGGATTCAAGATCGCAAACTCAGGGTGAATTGTCCACGGTTCAAGAAGAACTCAGACACAGTTGCAGACGAGGTGAACAGGCGTAATGTTCAAATGCAAAGGAGAGGAAGTATCTATCCAGAGGCGATGAGAGTCAAAGGACGCAGCTATGCAGATGCGGTGACAGGTCATAACGGAAGGAATGCAAGGATGCAGATGAATGAAACTAACAGGGGAGTGAAGCAAATCTGGAAGGCCAAAACTTCATAACAAAATTGGACAGGATTGGAGTTTAATCCCAAGCATGAAAACTGGAAGTGGCTTGAAGGGTGCTATGTAGGAACGGCAAGATCGGTGGAGATAGTTCCTGTTATTCAGGAGCGACTGTACATGGAGGGATTGTTTTGGGTAAGAGTTCGAGCTATGGGTGGGAAGTTGGTGCTATTAGATGGTGAAGATAAAGAAGAACTAAAGGAGTTGGTAGAATCTGCAGCAGATTGGCTTGGCCAATGGTTTGATGAAATCCGTCCATGGTCTCCCACCTTGGTTGCTAGTGAACGATTTGTATGGGTGAAAATGATGGGAGTTCCCTTAAAAGTGTGGGGGGCAGATTTCTTTTCCACTCTTGCAAATCTGTGGGGAAAATTTATTTCCCTAGATGAAAGTACTAGCTCAATGAAAAGATTTGATGTGGCGAGAGTACTTGTCTCTACTGCACAGATGAATCCAATTTCAAGAACACTATGGGTTAAAGTCAATGGCCAATTATTTTGCATTATGTGCAGAGAAGAAGATGGAAGCAATGGTCATTTTCATCTTAAAACTGATCATAATCCAGTTCTTCAATCTGATTTAGAACACGAGGAATTCGAGTATTGGTCCACTGATCATTATCCAGAAGAGGAATTCGGAGGTAACAGCCATAATTTCCAACGATCTATGTGGTCGGAAGACGGAAACAGTGGAGAAGA